ACTAAACTAAACCTAAGAAGTTTCCTGAATACAATCAAACACTTTGAGGGACAGAGTAGCAGGGGTAGGGGTCTGGGGACCATGCTTTCAGGGGACATCCAGGACAACTGGCATAACAAAGCTTATTAAGAAAATGTTTGGCATCCTACTTTGGTGAGTGGCATCTGGGGTCTTAAGTTTGCAAGCGGCCATCTAAGATGCATCAATTGGTCCCAACCACCTGGAGTAAAGGAGAATGAAGAACACCAAAGACACAAGGAAAGTATTAGCCAAAGAGACAAAAAGGGCCACATAAACCAGAGACTGCATCAGCCTGAGACCAGAAGAACTAGATGGCGCCCGGCTACCACCAATGCCCACCCTGACAGGGAACACAATAGAGAGTCCTGGCTGGAGCAGGAGGAAGGTGGGGCGCAGAACTCAAATTCTAGTAAGAAGACCAGACTTAATGGTCTGAGACTGGAGGTACCGTGGAAAGCACGGCCCCTGGATTCTCTATCAGCCCAGAACTAAAACAATCTCCCAGGCCAACTCTTCAGACAGGGATTGGACTGGACTGCGGGACGCAAAGTGATACTTGTGAGAAGTGTGCCTCTTAGCTCAAGTAGATACAAGAGACTAAACGGGCGGCTTCTGTCCGGAGGTGAGATGGGAAGGCAGAGGGTTAGGAGCTGGTTGAATGGACATGGGGAATCAGGAGTGGAAAGGAGGAGTGTGCTGTCAGAGTATGGGGAGAGCAATTAGAGTCACATAACAATGTATGTATAAATTTTTGTATAGGAAAAAATTAAAAAAAAAAGAGAGACACACCTTGTACAATGTCACAGTATAGAAAGTACTGTCTCTCTTGTATCAAATTTGTTTGTTATGTCTTTTTAAACAAATAACACTAGGATCTGTCCCTTCTTTGTCCAGTCCAATTACCACCCTGATTCCATCTTATCAGTTATTATCTGCATTATCTGTATATTTTATTACATTCAAAAGAAATGGATCTTACATTTATTCATTGTGTCTATTTTATGTGAGATAATATACC